TGAGGGGTCAGGTGTGGGCAGGTGCTGTGTGCAGAGGGTGGGGGCTGCCCCTGGGGACTGAGAGGTCAGGTGTGGGCACCTGCGTTTGCAGGGGGTGGGGGCTGCCCCTGGGGACTGAGGGGTCAGGTGTGGGCACCTGTGTGTGCAGGGACTGAGGGGTCAGGTGTGGGCAGGTGCTGTGTGCAGAGGGTGGGGGCTTTCCCTGGGGCCTGGGGTCAGTTGTGGGCACCTGCGTGTGCAGGGGGTGGGGGCTGTCCCTGGGCCTGGGGTTAGATGTGGGCACATGCATGTGCAGGGGTAGAGAGGTGAGACTGGGGGAGTGGGGGTGGGAGCCACCACCGGGGAGTTGAATTGTTCACGTTCTTTGTGGCTGGGGCGAGGGATAAGACATTTTTGTGGGTAAGAGCAAACTTGCTGGCCTTGGATTTAATATTTTTATCAGCTCTTGGCTCTAGGCAAGACTAAAGGACCCCGCAGGGAAGACAGAAGTGGGTTTGGGCGATGCCGTTGGGAATGGTCTGGGGACACACTGACCCCCCTCCCGTCTCTGACCCTGGGTCATGTGCAGAGGTCAAAGGTTGTCCCCATGTTCTGTGGCGCCCATGGTTCCCGTCGGCACAGGCTCGCTGCCAGATCTGCAGCCCAGCTTCTCTGCCGTCCGCTCCGGGGCCACAGTGGACCCTGAGGAGGCGGAGCCCAAGCCGCAGGAGGTAGCGCCTCACTCCACGCTGGCCGGACCCTCGGAGCCCACCCTCCTCCCGGTCCAGGCGCTCGCGGAGCGGGGGACCCACCACGTGGCCTCTGCGTCTCAGCCTGAAAGGGCTCTGACCCTGTGTAGGAACTCCAGGCAGGTGAGGTCCCTGCCGTGCGACCTGACGCGTCGGCCACGGGTGCGGTGTGGCGGTTCTGCCAGCTTGTTATGGTTACTGATATTCAGCCGGTGTGCGGGACAGAGGCCGGGCGTGGGCCCTTGCTGCTCAGGGGCCCCATGTCCGCTCCCCTGACCCCGCACAGGTGCCCTGCACAAGCTCTGAGGCATGTGAGTCTGTCTTCACGTTGTCATCTTTCCTGCTCCGCGGCCTGCAGCTAATAAAGGAATGTCCTTTAGAAACCAGCGGGTGGGCGCCTTGGACTTCTGCAGCACGAGATGGGGACCGCGTCCCTGTCGTGTGGGGGCCAGGGCTGTGCCGGGCCCCGACAGGTCAGGCTCTCCAGGAGAACACGTGGCTGGGAGTGGAAATGTAATGAGACGGTTGTCACAACAGCCCGGTCGCTCACCAGACCCAGGACCAGGCCTCTCCCTTCCTTGTGAAGAACAAATGGCCTAAGATCGGTCAGCCAGACTCCCAGGCGCTGTCGCCTCCTGATGGGCCCGTGTATGGTGCCCTCCTTCCAGGAAACTCTAGATGCTCAGAACTCTGAGTGTGAGGGGTCTCTGCCGGCTGGGACGTTGTGTGACAGACAGAATTGCGTCCCGAGCCAGCAGGGGAGCTGGAGACCGCGGCTTCTTAAACACTCCTGTTCCCCCCCCGCGCCCCCCCCGCGCCTCTTTTCCCCAGGGGTCCAGGACTGTAATTCAGGGACTCTGCTCTGTCCTTCAGCCACTGTGTGACCATTTCCAGATCTGTGCTCGCCTGCTTCCTCAGGTGTGCCTGGTGACCGGCGGGCACACGTGGGGCCCTTGGTCAATAGCTGCTGGTCTGTAATGGGCAGAGCTGCACCCCAGGGTCAGGCTGAAGGGCCTCAGAAGCCACCCGCTTCAGGGGCCACTTAGAGCAGAGAGGCTGCATGTTAGGGGCACCTGCTCTGCAGGCAAGGGGCGCCCCCTACGGGGTGCCCTGCAGAGGGGACCGGGGAGGCCTCCAGAACACTCCATGAAGGATGACAGTCGCCTTAAATAGGAGACCCTCAGCCTCGGGTAGCAAACCTCTCTCCAGGTGTGATGGCGGATTTGGAAGAGACAACACACAGACCTCAGCCAACTGCGGGCTTGGATGCAGCGTTTATTTTGAGCCAGAGTGCCTTTTCCTTCTGGGCAAATAATGCCAGGAGCATGCAGTGCTGAGGGTGGGGACCCTGCCCCTTCTCAGGGACACGCACATGTAAACATGTAAACATACACACGTTTCCTTAAAAGTGGTCCTCACACATGGATACAGGGCCATAGGCCCTTTGTCAGATGATGATAATAATAACTAATTAGGAGAATGCAGGGAAGTGAAACTTTGTAGGTGATGACAACACCAAAGCGAGGAGGCTCCTGGGGAAACTGTAGCTCTACTTGCTGTCTGTCTGCCTGTCTGTCTGTCTACACACTGGGCCAGGCGCCCGGGGCACGGTCACCTGGGGCTCTGTCCCCACCCTAGTCCTGGGCTCTCCTTGCCGAGGATGTGCCCAGGGAGGGAAGGAGGTGCCGATTCTGGAACGTTCTCCTGATGTCTCCAGGAGGTTGGCCACTGAAGCAGGGTTTGCAGAGGCTGCTCTGTTTTCCAACAAACCAAAAGAAAATTACTTTTCGATCTCCTCCCTCTGTGTCAGGGTGTGTAGGGGGGCGGCTTCTCCCCTGGGAGGAAGCGGGCTAGTGCGTAGAGAGGCGGGGCATTGGCGGGAAGCCCACAGCTGGAGCTGGACGCGGGCAGAGGCTGCGCATCCTCCGACAGAGAGGGGTCAGTGGGAGGCGAGGCTGGAAAGCTGCTGGACGGCTGCAATTGAACAGAAAAGTCTTCCTCAGTCAGCGGAGAGGGCCGGCTGCGCATGCGGTCCATGTGGAGCGTGAGAACACGCCGGGCACCACAGCACCCCTCAGAGAGCCCACCCGGGGCTCGGACTCCCTCCCAGACTCAGGGCCACCCTCCTGACCAAGGCCCTTCCAGGGGCACTGCTCCCTGATGGGAGCGCATTCCCAGTGGGGCCGGAGGGAGGGCCCGATTCAGCCCTGCCGGGGCCTCCTCTACACCAGCTCTGCTCTGGCAGCCCCCAAAGAGGCGCCCAGGAAGGGCATGCCAAAACGCCCGGCTGTGGAATTCCTCAGACTTCCCGGCCCTCGCGCCTGCTGTGTGTGATTCTTGACTGTCAAAGGGGTGGCCTTTTGCCAAACTGACACCTGGATGCACAGTCATGGGAACGTGTCCAGGGAAAAGGCGGCCCAGCTTGTTTCAGAGCCCCTGGGTCCACCCAACACTGCATAAGTTAAGGAAAAAATCAAGACATCAACATTTTCAAAATAGTGTGATGGTTAATTTTATGCATCAACTTGGCTAGATTGTGGTGCCCAGATGTTCGGCCAAACACTAGTCTGAATGTCACCGTGAAGGTGTTTTCTAGATGTGATTATCATTCAAATCAGTAGACTTTGAATAAAGCAGAGTACCCTCCATGTGTTGGTGGGCCTCATCTAATTGGTTGAAGGCCTTAAGAGAAAAAGGCTGAGGTTCCTGAAGAAGAGGGAATTCTGCCAGGAGACTGACTTTCAACTCAAAACTGCAAGATCCATTCTTCCCTGGGTCTCCAGGCTGCCATCCTGCCCCGTACATTTTGGACTCTCTCTGTCTCTCTCTGTCCATATGTCTATATCTATAGATATGTCTATATCTATATACACCCAAACATTCTATTGGTTCTATTTCTCTGGAGAACCCTGACTAATACACATAGACGCAAGTAAAAGTGATTCTGAGAAGAACAATACTGGGGCGTGGCACAGATTTTAAATCAATACAATTTCCAGTTTTCCTCTACCTGCCAACAAACCTCTTAAATTTTTTTCTTTTTTTTCCTTAAGTTCTAAGCACTAAAAACACCCATTTAAAACCGCTATCTTCATGAATAAAGCAAAGTCTCTTCCATGGAGTAGCACAGGGGAGTGTCAGGACTGGGGCTGTGCGATTCCTCTGCGCTCTGCCCAGGGCCCCGGGAGGTCAGCCGTCTGCGGCGCCTCTTCTGGAGACTCCCCTGAGGAGTCCCGGGACCTCGGGGTTCTGAAAGGAGAATCTCCTCACGAGCAGAAGCTGAAGACAAGAACGTCACCCTGCTCAAGGTTGACAGGTTGGTTGTTTGGGATTCGATGGCGCAGGGCCCTGAGGGTGGGCACCTCCGTTTCTTTCTTTCTTTCAAACTCACACTTCTTTCTGATCACAGGGGACAAAGCAAACCTCTAGAGAACGTTCTCTCAGGTCTGCTGGGAGCTCCCAGCCCCTATCATGCCCGTGTCTGCTCAGTTCTTTGCTGGAAATGAGCAGCTGAAAGAAGCATGGAGCAAACCACCCCAAACCACAGAATAAACCACCACGGACCACGGAGGAAACCACCATGAACCACAGAGTAAACCACCACAGACCACAGAGTAAGCCACCATGGAAAACAGGGGAAACCACCACAAACCACAAAGGAAACCACCACGGAGTAAACCACCACAGACCACGGAATAAACCACGACGGACTAGGGAGGAAACCACCTCAGACCACAGAGTAAACCACCACAGACCACAGAGGAAACCACCAAGAACCACAGAGTAAACCACCACAGACCACAGAGTAAGCCACCACAGACCACGGAATAAACCACCACAGACCACGGAGTAAGCCACTATAAGCCTTAGAGTAGACCACCACGGACCGTGAATGAACTGCTATGAACTACAGAGTGAACCACCAGGAACCACGGAGAAACCTCCCCGACAGACAGGGCTCACCAGGGACGAGCTCTGCCCCACAGGCGACCCCATGAGGAGAGTTGATGAGAAATCCCTTAGTTACAGGAGGTCAGCTCAATGTCCACAGTGTCCATTCTCATAACACTCACTGACGCCCAGCCCGTCCTGCATCCCACCCCGCCAGGCACCACTGCGAGCAGGAAGGTGGGCTCCCTTTAAGATCTGTCTGTTGAGGAACTGCTCAAACAGCCCCCAGCAGCTGTCTCACTCCCTGCTGTTTTGTGGGAGTATTTTTTGCTTAAAACATTCCCTTTGCTTCTCTGCTGGTCACTAGGAACTGAAGCTTCAGTTCTGTTGTTTTTCTCCTGAGGAAATGTACGAGACTCATTGATTTGTCATCTCCTCGAAATCTGATTATTGACGTGTATGTAATTCTGCTCTGACACGTGCTGGCAGTAAAAGCCGATTAGGCCATTGGGGGAGCCCAGGCCTCCCCTGGGAGGGGGAATTGGGAGCACCAGCTGTTTGTGAAGAGCCAGAGGCCCCCAAGGTGGATGAAGACGAATGCGATGTGGAATAAAGTGGATCCATTCACCAGCACCATGTGTCACGGATGGAAGACCGTGCCCCCATCCTGCACTCCTGAGAGGGGCACGTCTCCAGAGGGAAAACCTCACAACCTGCGAGGGCAGATCACACACCCCACGCCCCAAGGTCAGGATCCAGACTTCTCAAGAGCCCCGGCTGCCGCCCACCTCCGAGGACCAGCAGGTGCCCAGGATGAGGTGGGCTGCCATTCGGGGTGTGCCTTCCCCCGTCCCCCCTCAAAGCCAGGCTTGCTGGAGGCCGGTGACACGCCGGCCCAAACGTGAGGCGTCAGACAGGAGGAGGGGCCCCGACAACTGGACAGGATTGCCTCCCGCCTCCTGGAGAAGCTAGTCCAGCTCACCCGCTCGGCATACGGCACCGAGCTCCAAGCACATCTCTCCCCGCCTTGCGTCCCTGTGTGTGGGAGCGGCTTCAGGACCCCTGGAGTGGTGATGTGACGACGGGATCCATGCAGCCTACATGCGGTGTGCATGTTTCTCTGCCCCTGCCCATCTCCCAAGCTGGTGTTTGTGACCAAAAGTGGCCAGCCAGCCATGGGTCCAGCAGTCCCTACAGTTGTGGGTCTCAGGTCCTGGGTTTGGCAACCTAAGACGATGAGGAGGGTAGAGCAGAGCCCCCAGGATGCAGGTCACGTCCAAGGTAACGTTGTCCTTCCTGTGCTGGGGACCAGAGAGGATGCTCTGGAGGCGGGTGGTGGGTGATGCTCCAGGGGAGATGAGGGCCGCCGAGTATGGCAGCCTGGGCGTCTGGGAAGGCTGTGCCCGGTGACACGCAGGACCTGCCTCCTCTGGGATGAGCACTACAGGGGTCTTGGCGAACATTCTCATCATTTCTGACCCTCGGGGTAGTTCCTTCCCACGTCAGAGAAGTGGAGAAGACTCACTCTCGAGCCAAGCCTCTCCCTGGTGGAGACAGGGTGCTCACAGGGGCCTCACATCCCCTGGACTCGGGAATCGCCCTCGTCCCCACAGGACGAGGGCCTGGGCCCCCGCTCAGGACTTGTTGAGTGGCTAACTGGTCGACCCCCCTTGGAAGGAGGAGGCTGCCGTGGCACAGCCTGGGAGCCATCGCTCCGCGGAGACCTCAGGTGGGGCAGCATCAGGTCCTCCTTCCGGAATTTGAAGGCCCCAAGCAGCACCTGGGGGCACGGCCTCCAGCTTTGTTTTCAAGGCGAGCAGAGGATACTGAGGCACGGAGAGAAGGGACTTGCTCCTTGGCCCACGGAGATAACGCTGGACCAGGGGCCTGTGCGTCACTAAATTCGGCTTGTCCTCGGCCACAGCCTTTCTCGGCACACTGCGCCCCCCACATCCTGAGCCTCGGAGAGCCCCCCACACCGGATTCCGGCCAGGCGTGCTGTCGGGTCGGGGAGGCCCTACAGACCTCACTGACACAGAGTCGTGCGCCCCCCCGGGCGAGCTGGGACGGCACGTGGCTCCTCGCCAAGGGAGCTTTGCAGAGATGAGGAAATCCCAGGGTGAGCAGCCCTTCCACAGGACACGCAGGACCACCTTCATCTCAGGCTCTGCCCACACCCAGCCGGCCGCTGTGGTGTCCCGGCCTCGGGTCACCCTCTCTGTCCAGACAGGCCGAGCTGGTGGGTGCACACCCGCTTCTCCTGAGAAGCAATTGTTCCTAAGAAGGTCTCACTTCCTGTCATCATCATCGGGCGCTGGTCCCCATGACTGACATGTGAAGACTCATGACAAACAACGAGAGTCTGAGCCACTGCCCCCCATTTCGTCCACCGGCCCCCACTTCATCCACCGGCCCCCACTTCGTCCACCGCCCCCACTTCGTCCACCGCCCCCACTCCACCCACGGCCCCCACTCCACCCACGGCCCCCACTTCATCCACCACCCCCCACTTCATCCACGGCCCCC